TTTCTTCTTTCAATATTTTCCATTCATCTAAAATTTCCTTCCAAGGTAGAAAATCTTCAAACTCTAATTTAACATGTTCAATGACATATGCATTACTGATGCTTTTGTCATTACTTTGTACCATATCATTTTTAAAATCCTCAATGTCCCAACCAAATGCCAACTCTCCAATCATATCTTGGTTTAATTCTTTTGACCAGTGTATCTTCCATCTTTTGAAACTTCTCGGATTCTCTTTTGGAAAATCTTCTGTGAACAATCTTCTAAATACATTTCTTGCACAAATAATTCTTTTTAGTATACAAGGTCGTATTAGTAAATCTTCTTTAAGATGCTTAACAGAAAAATCTTTGGAGATACTGTATTATCCACTCTGAACGAATTATCAGCATGAATTTGAAATCTTTTGGCGTCATAATAATGATGGAATCCTGTAATTGCCAGTATGGGATCCTACCTTCTGGCAGGTAATGCACGGAATTTTGATGTAATCATTTAGCTTTTTGATCTCATCCTATAATTAAAAAAAAAAAATAAGTTGGGACATATATTTTTTATTGGTTACCTCAAATTCGCTAGTAGCTCCGGTCATTCCAATTGATTTTTTTGAAGCTTTAATAATGTAAAAACAAGGTGTCTTTGCCCGCTTAGCTTTCATTATTAACAATTCGAATAAAAGATTTGTTTAACGTTAAGAAATTGATGATCGTCGAAAATAACGTAGAATTTTTATCTGTATTATCATAAGATTTACTGATTACTTTTTTTAATTGGTGTTAACGCTACGTATTCTAATTACAATTGTGTATAAATTAGGAAAAATTCACTATTTTTAGATCTTAAATATGCATGTACAGTACATACATACTTAGTCAATGTTTTTTTCCCAAGCTATTGACAGTAGATCTATTAGAAACACATTATCGTTATCGTCATACGTACGTATCATTTATAAAAAGTGGCGTTCCTTTAATATGTCTGTTTTTCACGTTGTTTCCACAAGAAACCAACGCTGTTGAGAAAAAAAAGCGCACAAAGTGATAGCAAATAATTTTTGCGATTCATTGAAGCGACGACGGGTTATCATTGTCGATTGAGCAAGTTCATCGTGATGAAAACCAGTACTACAGTAAAAAAGCACAACGACAAAGAATTCTCAGTATGTAAACTACTAAGGTGGCTGAGTAAAAGTTAATTGTCAGACCAACCAATTTGATTCTCCAAAATCTAGAGGGGGGACTGCATATGATTGGCTAAAATATTAATGATAAAAATTTTAAGTTTGTTAAAGTTAAGGTTAGAGCCAAGGTCAGGTGTTATCAGGATTATCAGTAAAATCTCGCAAGGAAAACTTTTTGTTAGAGCGCCAAATGTGGTTTCCTATGCAGATTTTTGAGTTATAAGCAAAACGAACGTTTTGTTTTGAATTTTTCTGATCGTGTTACGTTACACCTGAACCTGATCTTGAAATCTGATTTACAATACATATAAATAACTTAATCCTATTTAAATTTGTTTGTTTATTTGTTTTATTACCGTATCATATCTTAATTTTTCTATCATATTAAAAAAAAACCGTATTATTTTGATTTTCAACTTTAAATAATTATTTAGCGGTGTGGGCTGTGTTTGCCGGGTAGGCTATTAGCGTTGCTGCATAAAGCATTTTTATTTGCTTTTTTGCATGTATCGCCTTAGGCTCTTCATATTCTGCTGAATTATGTAGAGTTTATGTTAGTCTACCCACCCAAATTTAGTTTGATTGTATTTTATGTCCATCAAGACTTTAAACTGAAAACTACTTGTTTGCTTTATGTGTCCATCAAGACCTTAAACTGAAACCTTTAAATTCAGAAAATCGATTTTTTCTGTATATAGTACAGTATAATACTGTACATCTATTTTTTTTTGGGTCATCATTAGCATCAACCTCCACGTGGTATGACCTGGACATATACTTTTATATGACTAAAG